GTCTGCAGCACTTTCCCAGCAATGCCGTCCAGTTGTGGGATCGTAAAGAGCGGCTCGGGCACTGACCCAAGCAGTTGGAAGAAAAGAGAAGCCGTGAGAGAAAAGAGGGGGGAAAAAATCCATTTTAGACTCATTAATAATGCCAAATGCATTTCTAAAATTCCCAAGAGAGGCGGATTGGAATGATAAGAGAATTCTAATGAGTTGATTGCATGGTAATGAGGGCATTATCATTCATACAGACTTGACAAAGAAAGGAGGTCAATAAGTCAAATGAATAAAAGGTTGTGTGCGTGTCTGTCTGTTTGTCTGTCTGTGTCTGTGTGTGTGTCGGCACATGCGTGTGATTTCAAACCGGATGTCGTTTCTAAACTTTGCACAGCTGGTAATTTGGTTTTTGCCCAAATGTAATATAACGCACCTGTTTTGTCTGCTTGAGTGTAAGCGTGCGTCCGCACAGACCGTCTTGCACTCTGATTGCATCATTTTTATTTCTTCCCACTGCTAGATAAATGAGTCTAATGTGCGCATTTGTTTATTTGCCTGTGTGTGCGTCTCTGTGTATTTCTTCCAACCATAGCACAGTTTCTGGCTCTTATCACGGCCATTAGAAACAGGCCTGAAAGATCTCCGTTCCTTAACATGAAGTGTAATGTTGTGTGCTAAAGTGAGGCCGAGATGAGAGAAGCCGTCAGCGGTGCACTCAAGTCAAACAGGAAACGTGGATAAACTGAAACACTTATCGGTCCTTTCATCTATTCAACGTTCACATTGTCTACAGTACTTTGAAACAAGAAATGGCATTGTGTCGGCGGCTAAGCCATTGTGCAGAAAAAAAAAAAAATACCCATGATCTCTGCTTTGACGGTTATTTTGAGGACGGGAAACATGGCCGCACAATGGCACCCGGTAAAGGAACACAAACATGGCAACACTATTGATAACAGGCAGGCTCTATTATTCCGTGTGTTATCGTGTTTTCTTTTGGAGAAAATTGCCTCTTTTTACATTTCATTGCAATAAACTTGATGTCTAGCTTTGGCTTTGGCGCTCCAATCATGACTTTTGTAAATATGGCACTGTGAAAACCCGCAACAGCTTATGCCAGGGAAACTTTTTTTTTTTTTTTTAATGAACAGCAATTGGTATCATAGTAAAGATATCAAAAAATAAATCAATTATAATCGCGTAGGGATATACGCCAAGGAAATTAAAATTGTGATGGACTGTTGCATGTTCAAGGGCGTTAACTGTTAATAAATCACAGCAGCCACATGATATAAAGTTCCAGACTCGATAAATCAGCTCACAGTAAGTAAATCTTCACATCTCCTCTCCTTTTCACTCTATTACTGATAATATGCAGCCACGCATCCCGAAAACAGAATTTGCTCGCTTTTCCACCGTGACTATTTTCCTCACAAAATGAGTCAGACTCATTCTCATTTTTGATGATGAGGATTAGTCATACATACTTGTCGATGAAAAATATACACTGGCACTGTCTCAGTATTTCGGGGCAAAATGAAGATATTAAATCGGAGTCTGGTATCCTGAATTTAAATGTGGGCATATTGTGCCAAGAGGTAAATCTAAGTCATCTTATCAATATCTTATTAGGGGGTAACTTTGGAAGCCATTCAAGAACACTTAAGGAGCGTAACGTTATTCCAAAATGGGCATACTAGGCACTTGCCTGAGAACAGACAATATATTGCGTGGCACAGTGTTTCATGACTTGTTTAAAACATTACTCGCGATGACATTTGATGGTATGCCCGCGCTGATTTCATAGGAATGTGAGTGCAGCGTTTCGGGTTCCTTGTTACGATTCTACGATCATACAATTTATAGTCTCAGCGGATCAAATTTCGTCCATGGAAATTTTTTTTTTTCCACAACACACTGACATCATTTTCTGTACTCACGATTAACTATCCTTTTGCGATTATTTGGAAGCCAACAACTGTAAATTGTTGTTAAAGGGAGCCAATGAGCCTCAATAGATGGAAGAGACTCAATATTCTTTCTCGACAAAGAGGCAAAGATACATGAAATGCAAAAGACTTTTCACCCCTGAAATGCTCAGCGCTTGCTTACAGATTCATACATGCGTGCACACACACTCTTGTATCCCTGTAATTGTCAAATATAGAACATTTTAATTACGGTAGTCACCATATATGGGGAAATAGTTTAATCTGCTGGAAAAGACGAAACATGCCAAATATCACAATGTTTCTACTAACTGAAATGCTGATATGACAGGCTTTGGAGTCATATACCGCAATAGCAGAGAGATGGAAAGATGTGATTATTTTATTTTATATTATTTTTTTCATGACGTGCAATGAGGTATTTTGGGCCGAAACGGTGGCCACACTGGGTATGTAGAACTGCAGTCATTTCAAATTTATTTCTAATCTAAAATCCAAGGCTTGAATCATTATATACCGTATTTTTCGGATTATACGTCGCTCCGGATTATAAATCGCACCAGACAAAAAATGCATAATTAAGAAGGAAAAAACATATATAAGTCGCACTGGAGTATAAGTCGCATTTTTGGGTGAAATTTATTTGATAAAATCCAACACCCAAAAACATACATGTCATCTTGAAAGGCAATTTAAAATAAAAATAAAATAGAGAACAACAGGCTGAATAAGTGTACGGTATACTACTATATATTATTCAGATAACTCTAGCATAAAGAACATGCTAACAAGTTTACCAAACTATCAGTTTCACTCCAAATCACTAAATCCAATGAACTCTTCATCCTCAGTGTCACTTTTAAACAACTCCCCCATCTCGGGAGGTAGACGATGCGCCACTTCCTCTTCTACGTCGCTTACGTCAGACTCATCGTCAATTTATCAACGCAGGCCGAGAGCGCCCTCTTGTGGTTTAATGTGAAAATAACATGTGAAATGACATAATCATGTGTGAATAATTTCACAGATAAGTCACTCCAGAGTATAAATCGCACCCCCGGCCAAACTATGAAAAAAACTGCGACTTATAGTCTGGAAAATACGGTAGATGGATGTATAGATGAGCCTGTCCCAGCTGTCTCCGGGCAGAAGGCAGAGTACACCCTGAACTGGTTGCCAGCCAATTCAATGAGAGTAATAGTGAGGATAAATACAACAAGTTCTTTCAGTGGGGCCTCCTGGCAACAAAACCGCACAAGCAAAGATTTTACAACGTTGCTCTCCAATATGAAGGGTGTTTGCCTCCACTCGGCTTTGTGGACACAGCTGGGGGCTCCATTTTTATTTGTGCCTGTCTTCCCCTCTCCATCCATCCATCCAGCTCTCCATCCATCCTTCTTTTCTCCCCTTCCTTACATCAGGAAATGTCCACGGCCACTCCATAGAGCAAGTCTATGCCGTCAGTCTTGTGGGCTTGTTGGGGAACGCGGGGGGGAAGGGGCAGCGTTATTTTTGGCCAGATGTCTTTCAGGCTCCCTCCGACAGACCCAAGCATCTAAATGTTTTATTTTCCAAGAAAACAAGACCCTACTGTTTCATGAAAAAAAAAAAGCGGGACGCCAAAGACACAAAAGGTAGAGATGATGAATTGCTAACACAAGTTGCAGTAAACACAACAAACAAAACAGGACCAGCAAAGACTGAGAGAGGAGAGCCACCTTGGGAAAACCAAGGTCTGGCTGTGTGGTGCCTTTTACACGGAGATTATTTTACAGTCATTCAAGCATACTGTATGCACTGATATTACTTTGCAACAATTTGCTTAAATGTGTTCTTAGAAATGTCCTTAAAGTGTTTTTAATGCCATTACTTTACAGGTAAATGTATTACTGTTTTATTTTTGCTCAGTTGTAAAACACATAATTAAGTGGATAGAGTATTCTGGAGAGTTTTCTTCACAAAATACAATTTGGTGAATCTTTTCTTCTTAAGGGCCAGTCTTAACTTGTCACAATGCTCCTCTAATGCAAATATCCATCCTTCCATTCTCTGAGACGGTGCCACTTATCCTCACAAGGGTCGCTGGAGCCTTGCACAGGTGACTTTAGTCAAGAGGCGGGTTACACCCTGAACTGGTTGCCAGCCAATTGCGGGGCGCATGTAGACAGACAACCATTTATACTTTTTAAATTTGGGGATTTTCTTAAGTTTTGATGTACAAGACAAACTTGCATTGGCTAAAAAAGGTGTTTGCAGGATTCTCTTAAAGCTAAATGGATTGGGACCACTTTCCCACAATCCACTTGAGGGTCACTGCCCGGCTTAGTTTACCCATGGTTCAGGATTTGTGGAGCTGGCTTCTCGTTGCATTAGGATCCCTCTGTTCCCCTCTAGTGGTCGAATTAGGAATTTGTCTCAGGACTTAAACCATCCAATTCCATTTTCTCAATTTTGTGCTTAATCTCCTGCCTGACGAGGCGCGTTACCTTGACAATAGTAACAGTTGTTTTGTGGTCCGGTCAAAATTTGACCATTTTAAAAGTTTTTTTAAAGGGGCAGAAAGTAATGTTATAAATGCTTCACTTCATACGCACATGTTGAGGATCTGCTCCCCCCAAAATTGACCATGGTGGGGACAATCACAAGACACAAGGCTAAGAAAAACGCATGTGATAGACTGGTTAACGTTTACAAAGACATCTATCTTAGAATATTGTGAACATGTCAAGGGCAGTTTGGGGATAATTTTCTTTTTATGCAATTAAAATGTGCATGGTTACTTTTGACTGGGAGCATAACAGGTGCTACTTTTTCTCACTTAAAAAACTACTGAGCGCCCCAAGTGCCACCATCATGACCAACAGCAGCATACAGTAGCGTAGTAGCCAAAAGTGTTCACAATAATGTTATTGCAAGTTACTGCAACATTATGCACAAATTGAACATTAACACCACTTCTAAATATCAGAAAATTGTACAAAAAAGTTAAATACAACCGAATTGGAAGTCAAGGTACCACTGTATTATAAATCAGCAGGAAATGGGTAAAGGAGGAGCGCTCACCTCTCTCGCATTGTGGACCAGTGAAGCCATACACACAGGCACATCTGTTGGGGCCGATGCAGCGTCCACCATTCTGGCAGCCGTTCTCACACACAGCTTTAAAAAAAAATAAATTTAAAAACAAAAGAATTATTTTACTCACAGATCAAAGTGTTTCTTTCATCTTCTAATATTTTCATGAGCATGTTTTGTAATGTTCTTATCATGAGAATGTAAAGAATGAGAACGTCAATAAACTAGATGTGCACGTTTTCATAATGTTATAGCCAGTGAGTGGAAATGTATATCGATTGCACTCACGCTGTCCACAGTGATTTCCCGTGAAGCCTTTCGGGCAGGAACAGGAGTCCTCAGCGCAACTGCCTCCATTCATGCACCTGATATTACACGACTGAACTGTAACATGAAAAAGAAAAAAAATAATCTGGCACAGCCCATGAATGGTATAATGACATACAGTATGATATTTACTTTCTTTTTTGTCACCAGTTGAATATTTTGTGAGTCAGTATAATATAAAGTGTCTTTGGATGTCCAGAAAAGCATTATTATTATTATTATTAGTAGTAGTAGTAGTAGTAGTAGTAGATCTTCATCCTCAGTGTCACTTTTAAACAACTCCCCCATCTCGGGAGGTAGACGATGCGCCACTTCCTCTTCTACGTCGCTTACGTCAGACTCATCGTCAATTTATCAACGCAGGCCGAGAGCGCCCTCTTGTGGTTTAATGTGAAAATAACATGTGAAATGACATAATCATGTGTGAATAATTTCACAGATAAGTCGCTCCAGAGTATAAATCGCACCCCCGGCCAAACTATGAAAAAAACTGCGACTTATAGTCTGGAAAATACGGTAGATGGATGTATAGATGAGCCTGTCCCAGCTGTCTCCGGGCAGAAGGCAGAGTACACCCTGAACTGGTTGCCAGCCAATTCAATGAGAGTAATAGTGAGGATAAATACAACAAGTTCTTTCAGTGGGGCCTCCTGGCAACAAAACCGCACAAGCAAAGATTTTACAACGTTGCTCTCCAATATGAAGGGTGTTTGCCTCCACTCGGCTTTGTGGACACAGCTGGGGGCTCCATTTTTATTTGTGCCTGTCTTCCCCTCTCCATCCATCCATCCAGCTCTCCATCCATCCTTCTTTTCTCCCCTTCCTTACATCAGGAAATGTCCACGGCCACTCCATAGAGCAAGTCTATGCCGTCAGTCTTGTGGGCTTGTTGGGGAACGCGGGGGGGAAGGGGCAGCGTTATTTTTGGCCAGATGTCTTTCAGGCTCCCTCCGACAGACCCAAGCATCTAAATGTTTTATTTTCCAAGAAAACAAGACCCTACTGTTTCATGAAAAAAAAAAAGCGGGACGCCAAAGACACAAAAGGTAGAGATGATGAATTGCTAACACAAGTTGCAGTAAACACAACAAACAAAACAGGACCAGCAAAGACTGAGAGAGGAGAGCCACCTTGGGAAAACCAAGGTCTGGCTGTGTGGTGCCTTTTACACGGAGATTATTTTACAGTCATTCAAGCATACTGTATGCACTGATATTACTTTGCAACAATTTGCTTAAATGTGTTCTTAGAAATGTCCTTAAAGTGTTTTTAATGCCATTACTTTACAGGTAAATGTATTACTGTTTTATTTTTGCTCAGTTGTAAAACACATAATTAAGTGGATAGAGTATTCTGGAGAGTTTTCTTCACAAAATACAATTTGGTGAATCTTTTCTTCTTAAGGGCCAGTCTTAACTTGTCACAATGCTCCTCTAATGCAAATATCCATCCTTCCATTCTCTGAGACGGTGCCACTTATCCTCACAAGGGTCGCTGGAGCCTTGCACAGATGACTTTAGTCAAGAGGCGGGTTACACCCTGAACTGGTTGCCAGCCAATTGCGGGGCGCATGTAGACAGACAACCATTTATACTTTTTAAATTTGGGGATTTTCTTAAGTTTTGATGTACAAGACAAACTTGCATTGGCTAAAAAAGGTGTTTGCAGGATTCTCTTAAAGCTAAATGGATTGGGACCACTTTCCCACAATCCACTTGAGGGTCACTGCCCGGCCTTTCGGAACAGAAAGAGTGAAACGTCTCTCGGTTTCTACTTGTGTTGCTTTTCATCCACCGAAAGGCTACATTCATCTCCTCCTTCCATCACTTGCAGCCACATGCTTCCACTCAAAGCGCAGGAGACAAAAATCCTCTGTCTGTCTGCGCGCTGCATGAAGTCATCTTCCTCAGAAAGAGCCTGAACGCTAACCAGGCACTGAAGTCATCATTTGTAGAATAAATCTGGGCTGATAAGGACACTACACATGACCACATTAAAGTCTTGCACTGATGAAAAAACAAAACAAAACATAAAAGCATTTCAGTGCTTGGTGTCTTTCCCAGCTATCGCACTATGCTAACAACTTGAGATAAAAGCCTTTTTGCTTTAACTCTGTTAACAAAAACAATAGTAAACACATCTATATACAGATTCTGCTCTCAAGAAAATCTAATATGATTTTTGGACAAATATATTCATCTATCCATTTTCTAAAGTGTCTTCCACCTCACTAGTTCAGGTCACCAGACAATCGCAGATCACATCAGACAAACAACTAATCACACTCACGTTCACATCTATGGACAACTAGAACAGTCGTTGTCACACCTTTTTACACCAAATACCACCTTAAAAAACTACTGAGCGCCCCAAGTGCCACCATCATGACCAACAGCAGCATACAGTAGCGTAGTAGCCAAAAGTGTTCACAATAATGTTATTGCAAGTTACTGCAACATTATGCACAAATTGAACATTAACACCACTTCTAAATATCAGAAAATTGTACAAAAAAGTTAAATACAACCGAATTGGAAGTCAAGGTACCACTGTATTATAAATCAGCAGGAAATGGGTAAAGGAGGAGCGCTCACCTCTCTCGCATTGTGGACCAGTGAAGCCATACACACAGGCACATCTGTTGGGGCCGATGCAGCGTCCACCATTCTGGCAGCCGTTCTCACACACAGCTTTAAAAAAAAATAAATTTAAAAACAAAAGAATTATTTTACTCACAGATCAAAGTGTTTCTTTCATCTTCTAATATTTTCATGAGCATGTTTTGTAATGTTCTTATCATGAGAATGTAAAGAATGAGAACGTCAATAAACTAGATGTGCACGTTTTCATAATGTTATAGCCAGTGAGTGGAAATGTATATCGATTGCACTCACGCTGTCCACAGTGATTTCCCGTGAAGCCTTTCGGGCAGGAACAGGAGTCCTCAGCGCAACTGCCTCCATTCATGCACCTGATATTACACGACTGAACTGTAACATGAAAAAGAAAAAAAATAATCTGGCACAGCCCATGAATGGTATAATGACATACAGTATGATATTTACTTTCTTTTTTGTCACCAGTTGAATATTTTGTGAGTCAGTATAATATAAAGTGTCTTTGGATGTCCAGAAAAGCATTATTATTATTATTAGTAGTAGTAGTAGTAGTAGTAGTAGTAGTAGTAGTAGTAGTAGTAGTAGTAGTAGTAGTAGTAGTAGTAGTAGTATTGTTATTATTATTATTATTATACCATTCCTCAACCCAAAATATGCAGGCAAGTTCACAAACCACAATAGTCAAGTATCAATGCGAAATAAGTGCAGTGGACCCCCGCTAAAAATAGTGAAAATATGCATACAATTGACATCCATTAGAAATGCTTTTTATTTTACCCCCAGAATTCTTGAAAATACCCTGATAAATGTTATCCACAAAAAAAAGAGAAAAAATGGGTGTTGGCTGCAAAACTATCGGTAAAATACAATTGTAACACTTTTTTTAAAAATATATATTGATGATATTGAAAAAAAGCCATAAATAGGTGAATCCATGGATCCTGAACCACCAGGGGACAGGTTCAATGTATTTTGATGATACCTTCCCTACTGTGGGCGATTGTATGCCTACCGGTACAGTATAATCATGTACAATGAACCCTCTGAACTCAAATGGCATGTCAAAAATTCTGAAATTCTACCCCCATCGCCCCCATATTGTCACATTTTTTAGTAAAGTTTAACATGATAGTTTGTTTAATTTTGCTCAATCTAAATTTACGTGAAGAGTTTGTTCCTGAAGGAGCACTGAGGATGCACAAGACATCAGTGCTGTTTCTTTAGCAGCTTGCAGACAAGACACAGAGGCCTTCAGGCTACATTCTATCAAGCAGGCCAGAAGTCAGCAATAAGTAGATCTTACTGCATGCGGCAGTCACTTTGGAATTTGTACAGGGAGGGAGGAGGACCTAGTGGAGTTTAAAAAAAAAGGTGAAAATAAAGAGCAGTGGCCAAAGGAAGATTGGATTATTTTGATGAGAAGCAGCACACTGCTAGCGATAGCCACAGACAGTCTGTGACGTTTTGCTTTTACTGTCGCCAAGTTTCAACCAACATCTTCTTGAGAACTGTCACTGCGCTTAACATCAGCTTTAATCATAGACAGTATACGGTATAAAGTGAATCAATCGAACGTCACTGCTTGTACCACATTTTTTTGGGGGGGTTCAGAGTCCACTGTAGAAAATATTCTTCGATTCCACCAGAGTATGAAGTAAACAATTTTGTATAAAATAGAAATGTATTCACATGTCATAATTAATGCTATATATTTTGCTGCGATGGAATGATACTTTTGCAGTGCATATTAAGAAAGAAATCTGTATTGTTCTGGGTTTTGTAATTTTGGATTTTTCACTACACCTGTAGTTAGTTTTAGTGCGTTTCGACTTTTGTTTTTTTTTAAATTCAGCTAGTTTTCATGAGTTTTTAGGGCAGGTTTGTTAGTTTTTATTGTTTTTAGTTTTTCAAGAATGCTCTGTTTTAGTTTAGTTTTTATTAGTTTTAGTTTTTTTTAATTTTTTTTAACATATGGAGTAATGGCTAAGTGTAGAATTATTTTTAAAAAGTAATTAAATATTGTGTAAAAGTGAAATAAACTACAATTCTCAAATGACTGAATGTCTTCTGTACGCACATTCAGCAATACTGAAAAAAAATAATAATAATTTAAATGAACCCAATAGCTCATAGACAATATTGATGTTGACCAAGATGAAAATGTAGGCTGTTTTTGTCATTAGTATAGTTAGTTTTTTAAACGTAAAATGCAATTAGAGTTAATTTTCTTTTTATTCCTCCCAAATAATTTGCGCAAACGTCTTATTTCAGAAGTGTGTATCAAATTATCCGTACCCAAAAAGGTTGGTTATCCCTGCTCTACTGAGTGCCATTTGAGTTATCGTATGGATTTTTTAAAAAGTTGCAAACGTCATCGTGTTCTATACCAGCCTATTCTCTGTTGCCTTTTATGTTGGCTTAACGGGATGACGGCTTTTTGTCCTTTAGTCCTTGCATGCTTGTTTTCTTTTCTTCCTCCACATTCCTCCATTCACCCTCATGCTTTCAAAATCCTAATCGCAAGTTCAACATTAATTTCCTCTTTCTCTCTCCACATGCATCGTCTTTTTTTTTTTCTCCACCATCTGTTTATGTCTCTTGCTTTAACATTTCTGGCATGCTGAGGCCTTGCAGCAGCAGAAGGGAAATGGCCGGGCATCCCCCCTTTGGTCTAATGAGTTCCTCCGCACACAGTGTGCCAGCAGCAGGTATTGTAAGCCACCCACTAATCGGACCAAACTGGAGCCAAAAATGCTAAATGCTACGCACACTTCAGTCTTGTGAGCAAAGGTGTGATTCCCTGTCAACAAAGCCTTCATTACTTCTTGTACTTAATGTTTTGAAAAGAAACCTCACGTGCAAAGCACTTGGCACGAGCTACATTTGGTCTGGTTTGTGTCTCGTGATGACAAGGCGATAAATTAAAGCAGCTTCAGACTCGGGCTGGCGGGCTTTTTAGTTGAGTGTGCAATTGTCTTTTTCTCTTTGCGATTGATCTCATCTCAAGGGAAACCAGTCAGGTTTTCCTCTCGGAGTAGGAACATCAGCCATGATGTCCAAAGTCTGTCGACTTGACCTGGGCCAAGATGTGCAAACTCGAGAATGATTGCACAAGGAGCTAACAAATTGTGCGAAAAATTGCTCTCATGTGCTCTAACTGCAAAGCACACCTCAAACTGGGTTTGGTAAGCTCCACAATCCAGTCCTGGCCTTAACTGGGGCATGAAACTGATCTTTTCTCCCAATACAAACATGAGATGGGAGGTGGCGTCTGAGACAGCGTGAGCGTGTGTCATGTTTTCTTTGTCACAGGAACTGGATGGGAGGGGGACAAGGAGGAGCAGAGTGAAGCAAACAAGCACATTTGACGACAGGAGAAGATGATCTCACTGGCTAACTTCGCCTGCTTGCACCTCCTACTCGTGCCATTGCATCCTCTGCAGGTTGAGCGAGAGCGAGAGAGAGAGAGAGAGAGAGAGAGGGAGAGAGAGA